ATTTTTTTACTCAAAATACACAATAACATTACTTATCAAACATTTTCAATCATTTGGTTTCACGATGATTACGTAAAAACTATTTTTTTTTTAATACGTTCCGAGCTGACGCATTTCAACGCTATATATCGGGATTTTCACTAACCAGCAATCATTTTTTCTAAAGTTTCGCTTTAAAGTTTTCTTTATTTTGCTTTGTTGTTTGCTTACAGTTGTGGCATTACAACCACTTGAATAAGTAAATTTTTTCATTGAATCTGTCTGTATATTTCTCAATTCCCTATACTGTAGGAAAAAAATCTAGTATTCAGCTCTTTTCGTTATATTCTATTTTCTGGAAAGGAAAATTCTATTCAGAAACTGAAGGAAAAGTTTAGAAGCGCCATAAAACCATAAACAAACCTAAGAATTATCGGGATATATTGGTGCAATAAAAACCCTTTGTGCAGTGTCGGGACCCATTGAGGAGTTTCGGATTCCTATGTAAACATATGCGATACCATAAAAAGAGATAACATTCCGATGTTCTAGATCAAGTTTCTTTATGCATAGTTTCCACTACCAAAAACCATAGGCTGTACCCGTCGGTGGACTATAGGGGTGGATCCTTATGCTATTGATCAATAAGATTCGTAAGCTCCTTCCCTCTCAAAAAGGGTGTAGGTCATTTCTGATATAAAATAAGTGGAAAGAAATAAGAAGTTAGCACTAGTCGTAGTCGCAGTCGCAGTCGTAGTCGTAGTCGTAGCCGTAGTTAGTCATCAGTCGTAACAGTCGCAGTTGTATTATAAGTCGTTATCAGTTGTAAGAATACAGTCGCTCATCTAAGTTGTAATCGTAAGATTGTGAAACTATTATTGTACTTTTTCTAATATCTGTTTCAAATAAATCTTATTAGTAGGATTAAACTGGGTGTATGTTTACCTCGCACCTCTCACCCTAAATAAATCTCTCTACATATATATATATATATATATATATAAGCTTTGTTTATATATTGTACGTCGGTAACTTTTACGGGTATACTTGAGAGGTCGACTTAACGGATGAGTGGTTTGAAAGGAGAGAGTAGAATATCAGAGCAGAAGAGATATAGACAAGATAGATAGAAGGGTTTATTTCTAGCAGCTGATTGCGGTACACCTTTTATAAAGAATTTAGGAAATAATATAAAACAATCAATATAGAGAGGCATTAACACTAAATTGTTGATTCTCTATATTTTAGGTAAGTATGACACATTTACGTTAGGGTAAGTGAATTTGTTACATTGTTAATAATAAAAGCTCTATATTTTAGACAAATCAATCTTGTGTTTTTTGCTTCAAATTGACCTCCCACATATTATATATATATGTGGGATTTCCCTTCTCCTGTTAGTCTCCCTAAAGGATATCTAACAAGTAAAAAGGAAAGAATTCCGCGGTGTTATTAATAGGTTGATGTAGAAAGAAAAACCTCTCTTCACGGATATGCAATATATTTAATATAAAGAAGTAAAAATACAAAGTAATGATAAAACGCCTTCTTTGCTCGGCTACTAAACAATGACTGCCTCTTGGTTTCTTTTCTTTAATTTACTTCCTTGGGTGACGCTCTTTCTATCGTTATTCGGCTGTTTATGTTACATAGTGTATCTTTTGCCTAACTATATCCGATAAGTACCCTCTGGCCCACTCATGCTTAAGTGTTCTCATTCACATTCTCACACCCCACACTCGGCCATTCTGCTATTTCTTCGGTCCCCGAAGAAAACTCTTCGAACGGTTTCATATAATCTGCCGGTTATTTGAATATGCCGGTCATATAATCTGTGATTATTTTTGGTCCTTCACCTTCACCCACACGAATCACCTCATATCTATTTTTTCCTTTACATCTAGATATTTTGTACGGTCCTAGAAATTTCTTTTGTATTTTTAATCCTGCACCAAATTGCGTACGTTTTATCGCCACTAAATCCTTCATTCATCCTTCATTATATACAGTCGCTTTCTTACATTTACGGTTATAATTACGCCGATTCTCTTCTTGAACTTTTAACAAGTTTTCTTTAGCTGCTTGTCTTAATTCTAAACGTTCGTCTGATAACTGCGCTATTGTTTCCTTCTCTATTAATGTTAAAACTGTTAAATCTTCTCGCTGTTTCATTTTTGTACCGAACATTACCTCGAAAGGTGACCTATCTATGCTACGCTGATGAGTACTATTAATCGCTCTCTGAACTTTATCTACATGTTTATACCACTTATCTGGCGCATCTATTGATAATTTAGTCAATACCGAGATAATAATGCGATTGATCCTTTCGACTTGACCGTTTCCCCTTGGTATACCGGTGGTAGTTAACATATGTTCAGTGTTTTTTGCCGTACAATATTCTTTGAAATCTACTGATGTGAATGCTGTCCCTCTGTTTGTCACTATACGTGTCGGGTTACCGAACGTCCTCTGTTGTATTGTCAGTTTGTCTATCGTCTCTCGTGAAGTCGTCGACTTAGTCGAATATAACCAAACAAACTTAGAAAATCCATCTACGATAACCAGAATATGTTTATACGTCTTGTTCGTCGCCGTCATTGGTCCTAAGTGGTCAATATGATAAGTTTCAAGTGGTCTATCCCCCTTCGGTATCGGTTCTAACAAACCTTCTTTCTTTCCCTGCTTACGCTCTGCTAATATACACGGTATGCAACAACTTACTATTTTTTCTATCTTTTCATTTAATTTTGGTACATAAAATTTCTCTTTCACTCTTTCAGCCACTTTACGTACAGGAAAATGTCCATTCTCGTGAATCTTTTTAATTACATTAATCTGCATGCTCGTAGGTAACACTATTACCTTTTTGTCGTTTACATTTTTCATTAAAATATTATTTTCCAAAAGATAGTCTTCGTATGGTTTTTTTTCGACTATTTGACGTATAACACGTAACCTTTCCTCCTCTTCCTGTTTCTTTCTAATATTCTGTAAAAGCGTGTCTTCGATACATCTAACTGGAAAACGACTAAGCGCGTCTACATGTTTCAATCTTTCTCCCACGCGGTGTTCAATTTCATAATCGAATTCTTCTAGTGACAACGCCCACCTGGCCACTTTACGCTCTAAATCCTGTTTTTTAAGTGTCTTTTGAAACGCTTGACAATCGGTAACTAATTTGAATTTAATCCCTAACAAATAAACTCGGAACTTCTGAACTGCCTTAATTATCGTTAAAATTTCCAACTCGTATGAGTGATATTTTTGCTCGGCCTCTGATGTTTTACGGCTCATGTAATAAACCGGATGAAAATCGTTTTCATTGCTGTACCTTTGCAATAATACGGCACCTAATCCATCTATACTTGCATCTGTATGTAATTCTGTTATCGCTTCGGGATCGTAAATACGGAGTACCGGTTCTTTAGATAAAAGATATTTTAACTGTGAAAATGATCTTCTTTCGTCTGTATCTATTCGACTTTACCAAATCTGATAATGACCTTGCTATCTTTGCATAATCTTTAATGAATTTAAGGAAATAACCTGTTAATCCTAAAAAACTCTGTACCTGCTTTTTATTTTTTAGTTCCGGAAAATGTTGTACTGCCTTTATCTTCGCCGGCGATGGGCGG